GCTGCTGCCTGCGGGGAAGGGGGGACGACGACGACAAGGTTGACCCCCGGCACTGAACCCTAAGGGATGAGGTGGATCCCCCCCAAAGTGTGGGGCAGCGCCTGCCGTACAGCGAGGCGTGTTACAGCAGGGCTGCGTGCGTGCCATGTGCTGTGCCCTGTGTTCTGTGCGCTGTATGTTACATGCACCACGTGCTACATGTCCCGTGTTACATGTTGCGTGCTATCTGTTATGCTATATGCTACGTAGTGTGTGTCGTGTGCCACATATTACATGCTGCAGGTTGCGTGCTGCATGCTGTGTTACATGTTGCAGGGCTGTATGGTATCACATGTTACGTTCTACTTGTTCCATTTTACGGTGAGACGTGATGTTACATGTCACGTGTGATATGTCACCTGTCACAGTGCTGTATGATGTTACGTGTTACATGCTACATGTTACATGCTGTAGGTTATGTTAATGTTACATGTTGCACATTACGATGCTATATGCTGTTAGATGTTAATTGCTACATGTTAAACGTTATGTGCTCTGTGATGTTACCTTACTTGCTGTATGTTACATGCTAATATGCCCTATTACGTACCCACCTCTGGCTGTGTTCCCTTGTGCACCCCTTGGTCCCACAGTCCCCTACAGCCAGAGGGTGGGATGGTGATTCCCAGGTGTAAGGATGGATGGATCTTCCTGAATTGGGGGTAGGAATTAATGGTGTGGAGTGGGGTTGGAGGTGTGAAGCTTGCAGGGGGGTGCTGCCAGTATTGGGGTGGTCTGAGCAACCAGGAGGTGGCCAATGCAGGAAGGTCAGGGGACACCATGGAACTGGGGTGCACGAGGTCCCAGTACCATGCACACAAATATGGGTGAGAGGATGGACCCCATGGTACAGGAGTCCATGAGGGATCCTGATCCCATGCATGCTTATACGGGTCAGATGGACACATTGAACAGGGTTGCACAAAGCTCTGGTGGTCCCAGTCCCATACACATTGTATGGGTGAGCTGATGGACCCCATGGAACTGGGGTACACCATCTCCCAACCCCACACTTCTATGGGTGAGCAGATGTACCCCATAGAACCGGGGTCCTGATCCCATGAATGCTTATTAGGGTGAGCAGATGATCCCCACAGGACCAGAGTGCACACGTGTCTAAGGCTCTGATTCCATACTTACAGGGACATGCTGATGGACCCCGTGGAACCAGGTACACGTGTCCCCGCGGGTCCTGATCCCACGTGCACTTATGGGGCCGAGCACACTAAAGGACGCCAAAGCCCGCGCCTGTGCTCCGTGCTCAGTCAGAGCGCTGCACAGCACCCTTAGCAGCACACATCGCCTGCAGCCCCCCACCGACCCCCCGCACGTCTGCCCCACCGCTGTGGCTTTGTGGCACCTCCCGGACATCGCGGTGCATCGCGATGCAGTTCCACCGCTTGCAGACAGCGGGAGCCCGGGCACCGCGATCCGCAGCGCTGCGAGGAGGGAGAACACCCGACCCGAGGTGGGGGGGGAGGATGGGGGGGAGAAGGAAGGAAAGAAAACTCTTTTCCCGACACCGTTACTGGGCTCAGGCAAACTGAGCCGCTCCCTCTGCACTGCACGTTGTGGGGGGCTCAGCAACGTGCATACATCGGTGCTGCGAGATCCCCAAGTCCGACCCCAAACCACCCCCAGCCTGCCACTCTGACCCCAAATAGAACCATAGGATCGTTAGTTGGAAGAGACCTCCAAAATCCCCAAGCCCAAGCACAACCCGTCCCACCATCACTCTAAATTGCACCGTAGAATTGTTAAGGTTGGAAAAGACCTCCAAGATCCCCACGTCCCCAGGTGCCACAGCTCCACTGTTGCTGGCATTGCTTTCACAAGATCCCAGCCACAGCTGTGTCTGCTCTGGGAGGAAATCTTTCACAGAAATACTTTGGCTGCTATCTGTGCACCTGAGCACAGGAGCTTCCCCGGCCCACTCCAACCCAATAACTTCATCCATTCTCAATATTTGCTGCTCGTGGTGTTGGTTCATCTCCATTAGAATGCCTTCTTTCGTCAGACCCATAAACCAGACCTGAAGTGTGGGGCTTCCTCAGCCTCCCCTCCAAGATGGGATGGCGGCAGAAATCCCTCTTTTATTGACCTGAAGGGCCAGGTTGCTCCCTGCAGCACACTGGGTTTTCCTTCATGCTCTAGCCCTATCATAAACAGGTTTGATCACTGATCGGTTCAGCCCTCGATCTCAAAGGGTAGATATTGCAAGAAAGACCAGAATCAATGTCCTCTGTACCATTGGGGCTAAAAGAAGAGCTTCTCACTGTTGTCTGGTAATGTCAAAACAAGAACAAGTCTTGCACGGGACACAAAGCAATAAGGGAAAGCTGGGCTATGCACTGTCTTCCTGGGACTTTTCTGTACAGAATGGTAGAATCACAGCATGGTCGGGTTGGAAGGGACATTAAAGAGCATAGAACTGAAGAAGCATAGAATGGTTGGTTAGAAGAGTCCTTGAAGACCACTGAACCGTAGAACTGATGAATAGTTGGATTGGAAGGGATGCTGATGGTCACTGAGCCATAGAATCACAGCGTGGATGGGGTGGAAGGGACTGCCATCATCATCAGTGCTTCCTCCCATCAAAATCAGTCTTGGCAAGACCTCAAGCAGACCCAGCATCAGGCCTCATGCAGCCAACAGCATGCTCAGCTGCTTCTTTTGGTGGTGGCTGATGGTGAGGACACACCAAAGGTGAAAGGAGGGCTGCCCAGGACCAGGCTTTGAATTGTTTTGACCCAAAGACAACTGCCAGTACTCAATGCTTAGTTGATCATTTACCTGAAATCATCCCAGTGAAACCCTGCAGCATCAGTGCAAGCTGTTTGCTACAGAGCAGCCCAAGGCCACAGACATAGGAATTTCAGGTCCAAGATGGAGGGAGTGTTGGGCAATAATGGCAGGGGATGAGCTGAGCTGCAGCCCTGGAGCTGGAGAAGAGCGGATTTTTTCCTTGCCCTTAATATCAGTAGGAGCAGAGGGTTATACAACAGTGAAGCAGATGGGAATGTCACAACAGTGTGCTTGGCAGCTGCACAAACACAACTGGTCTGCCCTTGCTTCATGCTCATAACTACATAAAACATAAAACATCTGTGCTGTGCAAGGTAACAGAGATAATTCCGTCAGCAGCAGCCTTGTGACATGGGGCATGATGTGCTGCCCATGACTCCTGCCCCTAAAACCCCTCTGAGCTCTCCCAGCTCATCATATGTGTCCCAGCTCCCAGCACCATATCTGCAGCCAGCTTGGTTGTGAGAGCCATAGCTAGCCCCTTTCTGACTCCAGTGTCCCCAAACCTGAGTGAGGTGCTGCTTGTCATCTGTGCTCATCCATCACCTCTTTAAAGATAAAGATCCCATGAGAGAGGGTCATCCAACCCAGTTCAACCCAACCTGAGCCAGCCTGGTGCATTTCTGCCCAACCCATCTCAACCCAACACAACCCAACTCAACCCAATGCAACCCAACTCGACCCACCTCAACTTGCCCCAACCCCTCACACTTCAACCCGACCAAACCCAACTCAGCCTCACCCAATCCAACTCAAACCAATCCAAACCAACCCAGCCAGCAGCTCTCCCTTCAACAGAGAGGGTGGCACCAACCACAGAAGGGAGGAATTGTACAAGTGAGAATAGAATAATAACTAATAATGGCACAGCATTTGACATGTATTTGCATATGCATGTGATATGTGTACATACATGTATGTATAAACACATATCCCATCTGTCTGTCTAGCCTTAGTCCTTTCCAGATTAATGTTTTTGGGTTTTTTGGTTTTTTGTTTTTAGGGTTTTTTTGCTGATTATAAGCTCTGTGGGTCAGGACCACAGTTTTCCCCATATATTAACTGAACCTTCATTTATCTGCTGTGACAGCAAGTGGGGAAGTTTTTTATGATAACAGCTCTTTCTTATCCAAAACAGACCCTTCTTATCCAGGGGGTGAAGAAGTGCCCTACCTGTCTGTGTCCCACCCTGAAGTCACAGCTGTGGTTACTTGGAGATGGCTCATGACTTTGAGGCTTCTGGCTTTAACCTGAAGTGGGGAATCTGGTGCTGAGGGGTTCGACTGCATTTCTTTTCATTCATTAGAAGCTTTGGTAACTGTAAAAACCAGTGTAACAGCCTTGGGCATGAGTCCAGTGCAGCAGGTGCAGTGCAGGATGGGATGACCCTATCCTTTCTGGAGTCTGTATCTTTGTTAAATCTGATATAGTGGCTTTGATAGAGTTGTACCTTAAAAATAAAAATAAAAATCCATAGTATTTTCTATTTCATCTACTCTCTCAGGTGGTTGAAAACCTCTGTGCTCAGGAGCAGTGGAGAAGATGCCACCAGCTGATCCCATGTTGGCTCTTCCCTCCCTGCCATCATCCCACCCACTCCTCGAGGTTTCTCCCTGCCAGGTGAGCCCAGAGCCAAAGGCATTCCCAGCCCAAACGTGCTGGTGAGGGGAGCAAAGTGAGGGGATAAAGGCAGGCTGAAGCGTGTGGCTGTTGCTGAAGTCAGCTGTAGAACCTCAGCAATGTACTGATTATTTTGTGTGCTCTCACGTTGACCTTTCAAAGGAAATTTTGTGCCTGCAGGGCTTGATTTAGGGGCAAGAAACTAATTCAGATTTAATTTTCACTTTGTATTTCAGCTGGGAGAAACTTGGAAGATTGCAGCTGCCAAGGCGGATCTTTGTTTGAGGGGGAGGTTGGGATTTTCTCCTGGAAGCTGCACAAGGAATGTGGGTTCATGGCTACAATGGCTCCGCTGCCCAGCACCACTGCTATGTATGGAACAGACAGACAGAGCTCTGAGCAAAACAGTGAATCTGAAGCTCATCCAGGTAAATACATCCTGCAGCAAGGAGTAGAGGAGTTTTTCCAAACCCAGAGCGCATCTGGAGAGGCTTTGGTATGTCCTGAGAGCACATGGTTTGGAAGAGGCTTGGAATTTCCCCATGCAGATTTGTCCCTGAGTGGTTTATCCCTTTGATTTCTGTCCGACCCATTAAGAACAGCTCTGCTGGGGCTGAGCCCCACAGGACCCCCGAGATCCATGGCTGGGCAGGACCCATGACCACGGTCTGCCATTGGGTTTGCCAAGCCAGCTGGTGAAAACCTGACCTATGGCTGAACGTTGCTGTGTGTCTGCCAAGACATATCCATTTTGGATTAATTTTAAAACAGTTTTTAAAGTGATGATGAAGGATTATGCAGCATTAAAAATCTAACATCTCTAAGGTCTATTACAGCCATCAGTCCTCCAAAGAACCATCCACAAGCCAAGCATAAAGCAAAAATCAAGATGTTCACAGCCTGAGCTGCACAGGTCAGGGAGAGCATGGGGCTGACCAGCTCCCAGATGGCATTTGGAAAAGCCTGACTTTCCAAATAAGTGAGGGGTTGTGTTTGCTGCTTCCTTTCGTGAAGTAGATCAACCCATAGACCAACAACCTGCTTCTTTGCCACAGCTTCCCCCTGTATTCACCAATCTTTGGCCAATAGAGTCTGGTTTTTTTTTCTGGCCATCACATCTGGAAGATCATTGGACTGCTTCTGCCAAAATCATCAATGTCTGATGATTTTGATGATGCCATCACTGTCTGGGCAGGAAGAAAAATGAGTCTTGCAAGGGAAGGGAAAGATGGTGCTGAGTGGGACAGTGCACTTCTCCCTTCTCCCCACCCCAGCAGGAACTCCTTCACAGTGAGGTTCAGCACGATGCTGCAGAGTGATGTGTCCTTCTGTCCATCAAGCATGGATTTAAACAATCATCCACTTAACACAATCAGTGTGACAACGTGTTCTGGTGTGCCACCAGCCTCGTGCTGTTGGGCTGTAGGATTGCACTGGGACTGGTTGGTGCACATCACTACGCAGCAGCAGCTGGGCTAAACAAACACAATTCCAGGCTGCATTCACTGCTTTATTTCTTATTTGTTTTATTGTGCATAATAAATCCTTCACAGAAAGTAATGAGAGGGATCCCCACGGTGATGCTGTACAGATCCCCATGTAACACTCAGCCCTTGGAGGAGCCATTGGGCTTTGGTGGATTTCAGCACAGATCTGGGTCTGGCTCTGCTGCTCCGCCCTGGGAACAGGTCTCCATCTCTTCCAAAGCAACTGGGAACAGTGCACATCCATTACCACACGGGGAAATGACATGGTCAGAACAAAGCTGCTGAACTTCAATTCAACAGGATCAGAACAGGAGGGCAGCAAGAAATAATTTATGGTGCTCCTCCATTGATCCAGCAGCTGGTTGGACCTATTCTTTTCATCTTAAAGAGCCCTTTCAAAAAAAATCAGGTACTCTGCAGCTTGGCACCAAGCACCTACTTGCTCCAGATGCTGCTGGAAGTGGAGAGGGTTCATTCACCTTGGGTTGGATGAAGACCATCCCAAAAGACATGCAGTTTCAAGCTGCATCTGCACAGCTCTTCTGGCTCACAAATGCTCTTAGACCTCATAAAAAGGCAAAATCAAGAATAGCTACAACAACCAAGAAGAGTCGTCCCTCTTTGACTTCTGTTCAAAGGTAAAACAACCAAACCAAACCAAACCAAACCCAAAATGTAGTGTAAACATCTGCAGTTCAGTTCATTTCCCATGTTTTCCCATTTTATTTCCCATATTCTCATGTTCATTCATTTCCCTTATTTTCCAAAGAAAAAAGACCATGTCCTGTCTTATCGCTGCTCCATCTCCAATGCTCCTGTCATGCTGAATTCCCACATGCTCTTGTTGTGTACGCCTCTCTGTAAGTTATACTTAAATAAATATGGAATGTTTTTAATATATTTTTTTTTAAGTCACTGCTTCATTTGTGTAGGACCCAAACAGACTTCCACCTCGAAATGAACAGATAAATGGTGCATCTCCTTCAGAAAAAAAGAAAAAATGAAAAAAATAATGACAAAATGAAAAAAGGTGCAAGGAATTTTTTTTATTTAGAGCCACTCAGGACTGCCTAGAAGTCAATGCATCCCCTCGTGCAGAACATGCTGGAGCAGGAGCTGCCAGGGACCTCCCTTATATATCCCCACTGTGCGAAATGGGAGGTTCCCTGGAGACCAGGTCAACCCATGTCTCTCATCCAGTTGCAGAGCCAGGGACATTGGGAAAGAGCACTTGAACACAACAGAAGGAAGCATTCTACATTCAGATCAATTAATACTTCTGCCATAAACCTTTAACAGCCAACAGGGGATTTCAACACAGAACTTGGCCAGGGATCCCCACCCCACACCGTCACACATTTTTACAGGACATCGCTCTATTTTACAATCTTACCACTATTTTCTTTGGAGATTTTTTTTATCCCCACACTTTCAGTTTCCAGCAACAACCTTTGCACAGAAGCATGGTAGAGCAGCCCTGCAAAGGACTGGCTCTGCTAGCTGGTGTTCCTAGCCCCTCTGTGTGCCAGCCAAACACAAAGACTCGCTCCAGAAAACCCTCCCACAAACATTTTGACATCTAAATCAAGTGCTTTGAGTCTGCCTGGGAGCTAACTGGATTAACATGCTGCTTGGGTGGCACCAGAGGAAGGACAGCAGCCATGCCAGTGCCACTGAAACAAAGGGCTGGGAGTGAGAGTGTGGGGTTGGGCAACGAGTGACCCACAGCAGAACCCAAGGGACCAAAAGAGATAAAAATCCAAACGCTGCCCAAATCCAAGTTCTCAGTCTCTTTCCTCATTTAAAAAAGCAGTCGGCGTTGTTGGTAGTAACATCATACCCCATGTGTAAGGCCTCGTGTTCATCAGACAAGCTCTGGTTACAGGACGATAAATACAAGGCTGCATACATGTTCCCCGCCCCAGGTGTCGGTGTGTGACAGTCAGAAACACAGCTGCTGGGCTGGAGATGGGCAGCGAGGGGTGGGTCAGAGGGTGTGCACTGGAAGGGGTCATGGATTCACGTGGTGCAGTTTTGCTTTCAGTTTTGGTTTGACTTCTTTCAGCCAGAGTCCATGGTGAAGAGCTGGATGTCGCGTGGGTTCCAGTAGAGTGCCACGGCCGCGTTGTACACCAGGGACCAGACGTAGGGGATGAAGAACTCCTCGGGCTGCTCCTCCTCCACGTACTTGAACTTCAGCTCAGGGAACTTCTGCAAGAGAAAGGGAAGGCTGTTTGCAACCACGCAGCCCAAAAAACACAGAGCAAAGTGGAAAAGAACGCAAGGAACCGAACCACCAGAGCTGAAGGAAAATATTTACCATGAGGCATAAAGAGATCATTTATAATTTCTTCTTGGAACTGAATGCCACACAAGCACATTGTGCTCAGCCCTTCTCCTCATGCTCATGTTTGGTCTCTGCTAACAAGACTGGGTGCATCCTTTAGGTGACAAAGGAGTCCTATACAAAAATATCATTGAATGCTCCCCAACTGGATTGTACCATGCACCAATTCATCCCACTGGACCTGTGCACACAGCTTAATGTTCATCCATGCAGACAGCTCCCCTTCCTGACAACACAAGCAATATCCTTTCCACAAGAACTTTAAGGAAAGAGCTTCCAGAGTTATCACACATCAGATGTGTCAGTTTGTCCCAACTGGAAAGCGATGCTGCAGCCCCAGCTTCCCCAGTTTTCTCTGGTTTGTTGCCTCCCAAAGGCCTGCACACACAGAGGTGGTTTCTTGCAAAACCCTCCAAGATCCCAGACTTCAACCCATCCCACCATGCCCACTGATCACATCCCCAAGTGCCACATCTCCATGGTTCCCAAACACCTTCGGGAATGGGGACTTCACCACTCCCTGGGCAGCCTGTGCCAGCATCTCACCAGCCTTTCAGAGAAAGAATTCTTCCAACCTGAGATTGCTGAGCCTATTTTAGCATGCACTGCTCAATCATCTACTCTACTTCTGAATGTTGCCCACGCCAAGAGCCTCAGATAAAGCCACATTGCAATGCTCCTGGGGATAAGATAAAGCATGCCTGTTTCATTATTTATTCGGCTGTGTGTGGCTGTATGTGGCTAAGACTAAAAGACTAAAACTCCATGGCACAACACGACCAGAACAATTACAGCAATGGCCAGGAAGCCTCTGGACGGATGCCCTGTCAGCTTTCTGAGCAGCTCATGCACTGCTGCATTGTGCTGGGGGATCTTCTGTCTGGAACAGCTTCTTTGAAGGGGTACTACTTGGCCACTTGGCTTTCATATTTATTTATCTAACTCTGTGTTCTTGGGAGTCTCAAAAACATGGAGACGTGGAGACACTCTCCCTGTGTGGCTGCTGTTATTACAGCAGTTTGGTGCAAATCCCAAACACAGAGTGACACCAAAGCTGCCATCTGCACTGAGCTGCACCTGTTGGACACCATGGTCTCCAGAGGTTTCTTCCAACCCCCTCAATTCTGCTCCATGGGGAAGGCAGCTCCACAGGAAGCTTCTTTATAGGATCACAGCATACCCTGAGCTGGAAGGGACCCATCATCAAGTCCAGCCCCTGGCTCCACTCAACCAAAGGTTGGGTGACAACGTGCCACCATCCTTGCTAAGGACATCAGCATCACTTTGCAGAGTGCTGCATGCCAATGGGAGGGCATGGCTCTGGACACCGGGTGGCTGTCACCCCTGGTGGGGCCTTCAGAACACGGCAGGAGCTCATCCTTCTAACAGGGAAGGAGGGAGGAAGCACTCTTTGTTTCCAGCACCCCTTCCTCTGTGGAAGGAGCAGAGGCTGTTCAAAGAAGCAGTGTCAGTGACACTGCTGCATCCAGCTCTTGGTGAGCTCAGACCTCAAAGGCACATCAGTAGCTGTCATTTCCTGTGCCAGACATGAAGTCTGTGGTACACCAGCCCTTCCACAGTCCTTTTGTACACTATTTTCTACCATCTCTGTCCACAGAGTGGGTTTGCCCAGCTTTCTGACCCACCATATCACCGTGTTCCCCCACTTTCAGGCATTCCTGCTCCCACACTCACCCCCAGCTCTCAGTTTCCCATCTCCTGGTCTTCCCTCTTCCCCGGCCCCATTCCTCTGTCTTCACTGTATCTCTCTTCAGTGTATCTCCATTTTGCTCTTGCTCATGTTTACTTTTTCTTCTTCGTCAGCCTCGTGTTTCATTGCCATTCCCCATCTCAGCCCTTCTCAGCTCCCAGTCCTTAGCCTACCACCCCCTCCTACCACGCCACCCCTCTTAAGATGCCACGATTTGTGTACCTGGGGACAGAGTGGCGATGAGTTAGGGTTGGACTGGAGGATCTTAGAGGTCTTTTCCAACCTTAATAGTTCTACGATTCTTTGGGCAGGTTAAGCCTCAATCCAAATCTCATCTACATTTATTTTATAAATGATACTCTGCTCTGCTTATCCTCGGTGTAACCTTCCCCACTTCCCTCCTGATGCTTCCTGGCTTGTGGTCAGTGCAGACAGGAACGCGCTCAGCTCAGCGTTGCTTCAGCAAAATGAATGGTGAAACCCCATGGTGAAACCACGGCGACGTTTCCCAGCAGAGCAGAGCCCTCGCATCGCTGTCACTCCTCACCCCAGCAGTGGCTGCATGCAGCAGTCCTTCTGGGACGGAGGGGAAAAAGTGATTAACGATGCAAATGTAAAGACACGGAACTTTTTTTTTGCCTCCAGGACCACAGATTACAGCTACTAGGTTTTGTAGATACCCACGACACCAATCTGGGACCACTCTGGACTCAGAATCGCTCAGCTCTCACTATATCGTGGGTCCTCTGCATGAAACAAATCAGGCAGAATTCCAGTTTTCAAGCAAGAACAGTCACCTGTTGATTGTATTATTAAGTTTTCCTTCAGCCTGATCAATGTTGCCATCCACTGTGCTTGTATACCAGAGCAATTTAATGATCAATTTCAGATTAAAGGCTGTACCTCTGCAATCAGTCTGGGCTCTCCCACACTTGCCACATGCCTTGAGCAGCTTTATCTCAAGAATGGAGACAAGGATAATGGGAGTGTAGACAAGGGCAGTGGGAAGGCAGATGAGGCTAAGAAGAATGCAGACCAGGATAGTGAGGTTTTTAAGGAGAGAGATACATGAAGTGACACTAGGTCTACAGACTGGTGGCCCTGCCCATGGCAGGGAGATTGAAACTAGATGACCTTTGAGGTCCTTTTCAACCCAGGCCATTCTATGATTCTATGATTGACACTAAATTAATGTTTTAGGAGAGCTGTGAGACAACAAGGTCATGGGAGGCTCAGAGCACTTCCAGGGAGGATTTTATCATCAAGGATCATTACTAACAGAACTCTCCAAGTGGCAAGAAAAACCTGCTTTGCTGTTAACATATACAACTTAATCAAGCTGGACATTAGGAAAAACGACTTCCCAGGAAGAGCAGTGGTGCAGGGGCACAGCTGCCCGGGGCAGTGGTGGGGTCCCCAAACCTGGAGGTGATCGAGAACCGTGGAGATGTGGCACTTGGGAATGTGAGCAGAGGGTGTGGGGGGATGACATTGGGCTTGGGGATCTTCTCCAACCTTAACGATTTTATGATTTAATTCTGGAAGGATGTCTGCTCCTTACCTGGTGACACCCAAAGGAACCTGATTTGCAGCACGTTCTGAGAAGAAGGACCACACCACAGTCTCTTAAATGGCAGTCCTAATAGCAGGGGAGAAGTCTGGGCATGGGAACATCACAGCCCCACCGCTCAGCTGGACACCAGCCACGGTGCTGAAAGATGCACGTGTTCTTTGCCACCTTCCTCCTTGCCAATGTTTCTGAGCTGAGTGCCCTAACACCAAGGGGTCCAGCAGAACACATTTCTACCCGGCCGCTACCAGAGGAGAGCCAACCCTGGGCACTCTGAACCCCATCAACCCAAGACATCACACGTCAGAGCTGGAGGGAACGTCCCAGTTGGATCTGTGTCACTTACACACAGACAGCACATCTCAGCTCCGGTCAATCCGCCCACCGCAGAGCCCTATCGTGTTTGCTGCTGGCAGACAAAGCAGAAGTCAGATTTCGTGGTCAGGACAAACGAGACAGCTGAGAACACTGCAGACAGCCTGCGCCGTCAATCACGCGATTCGATGAAAAACCACAGGAAGTCCAACCAGCAGATGCAGTGCTGAACTGCAGTGACTCCGCCACCACAAAAAGCTCAACACCTTTTTTTTTTTTTTTTTTTTTTTTTTTTCTTTTTTTCTTTTTTTCTTTCTTTTTCTTTTCTGCAGTTAAGATGATGAAGATAGCATCAGGGCCAGGCAGCAGCAGCTGGCACGGCTCCATGCGGCTCCGAGGCATTCGAATGGAGCCGTGCATTAACACAAAATAATCCCCTTCACAAATGAACCATCCCGGGGCCGTACCAGGGGGTGACCTCTGGTCGGATACCATCAGCAGATGGAGCTGCTTCAAGAGAGGGAATCTGCCTCTGCTTGTTCCATGATGTGGATATTGAGCTGGATGGGGAGCTAAGCAAAGCAATGGGGTGGAAAAGCAAGAAATCCGAGGACTGTATGAACACAAAACTGGAGAATCCTCTTCTCATGTGCTTGCTTAGGATTCGTGCTTGCTTACTCATTTGTGAGCCGGTGTTTTCAGAAGCATGTCAATGGTTTAGAAGAAAAGCACCATTGCCAAAAGAGCCTTGCACATTTGAGAGTCAAATTTGCGTTCATTTTCAATGAATCCAAAGCTTCAAAGTCTGTCTGAAAATGGATTTGTGTGTGTTTGATACTCTTAGCAGGAGCCCTGCTTGGTAGCCCAAGGACGTGCTGGGAAATGAATACAGCAGCACTGCCTGCAGCATCAGCAGAACTGGACCTTATCAACAATAGCTGTAAATTAAAAAAAGAAAAAGAGATACTGATGGAATAGATTTTTGCAATTATTTAATTACTGCAGGGACACATATTCATCTTTTTTTTTTTTTCTTCCTGTTTTTCTTTGCGTTACACTGCTTCTCTTTGACTTAAGAAAGAAAATCAACGTGGAGTTGGTGAAATACCTGCATACCTGCTTGCTATCTTTGCCTCTATCTCAGGGCTGAGGCACAGACAGCCCTGCAGAAGGTTACAGTGGGGAGACAAAGGAAGCAAACAGGAAATGTGCCAGACTGAGCAAGAGTCGCACATCTCGCTCTGCAGAGCTGGGGAAGGAATAGGTGT